TTGTCATGTTGTCACCTCTACGGGGGGAATATGGATATAACCTTTAACTTTTTTATTGAAAGTCTGAATGAAGCTACTCTGCTTTGCTCCTCTCTGTTTAAACCAGGGCTGTCAAAAGATTACCATTCTAAATATCGATAGTTAATGGCGATCAGTCACATTTGTTTGTGTTTGAAATTCCATTATTTCACATTTAAAAATAATAATTGTTAGGCTTTTATTTTGAACTCTGTACTGTCTCAAGCTGAGAGTACTTTACTCGCTGTTTGAATTCAACCCTGCTTTTATTTTGAAATGAAGTTAGGACCTTCTGGTAGATCGAAGGTAACGACAACATCAGAGATAGGACCTCGTTGTGGAAACTAAAATGAAACAGCTCAAAGGAACGCTAACAAAGGTCAATGTGTGATGTCATGAGGACTCGTCAGCTGAGCTTTTTAAAGTGAAATGAGACGAAGCAGTGTCGTTCTCTTACGTCACTGTGACTACAGGGAGACACTGCAGAGGTATATCTACGGTGAGCCTAAAGGGACAAAATAGCATGTGATTAATCGTGATTAAAACAGCCCTCGTTTAAACCTCACTGATGTGTTCAACAGTCGTCACAGCAGTGTGCCTCGTGTCCTACATGCTGCGGAGCTGAGACAAGATCAGGAAGCGGATGATGAATGAAGGCATATCTCTGCAGTTTGGGCTTAGCTTCTTAGAGTGTTTTGGTCAATGAGCTTAACTGATCCCCCCCCATTAAAAAAAAAAAAAGTCATATTAAAGATGACATTTATGATAAGTGAAATGTGTGTGTGGAGGGTATCAGTGTTGTCCTGGAGAACGCTCACACAAAGTCACACAAACACAAACAGCTCCTCCTTTACAGAACTTTGTACTCTGCAACATGACAATACTAAGTCTATGTAGTCTTATATTTATCATTTTGGATGGGGACAAACTCCAGCACGATGACTGAATTGGCTTTGTTTGAAACAACCTAGTGCCATTTAGACAGTTCTCTCTCTCTCTCTCTCTCTCTCTCTCTCTCTCTCTCTCTCTCTCATGTACGGCGGTCTTCACTAAAACTGTGACTGATGATCTGTGGTGTTCTTAAAGCTTCTGTGGTTTACAATACTATCAATAACTGAAATAACAGATTGTATCATTTGTAGACTCGTGGTATCAAAAAGTTTGACGACCTTAGCTCGGTGTCTTCTGAGACTCTGTGATGGTATACATCGATGCTTCAAAGTCTTGGTTTGTTACACCTTTTCATAAACCACCAATCCAGCAGCCACGTCCCAAACTCTGTCTTCTCTCTCCGTCATCGTCCTCTGGTGCTTCATCTTTTGATCGAGTACAACGTTTTATATCAACCCAGTTCAGAGCAGTTTATTCACGGTTATTATTCCAACAGTTCTGTTGTTGTCTGCAGAGGTGGAGCGATGAGACGCTCACTTTGCCGGCTGACAGAAGTTTATACATCTTTGACTCGATGAGGCATCAGATCTCTGATCGTCTTTAGGGCTTACCTTTCTGCTGTGCCTTACATTGATGTTTCTGGTCAGTCAGAGTCATCATGTCCGACATCTTATCCTGCAGGTTAAAATGTTGTGTTGTCATCAAGTAAACTGTGTGCAGGCCTGCTATATCCACCTCATCAGGGCAGCTTTGTGTCGCACATCCATTGTTCTTGTTTGAATGCAGTAAGTGTCTTCACTGTCATATTCTGCTCTTCTCCCGTGATGGTGACACCCCCTGCCCACCCCTCTTTTCACTCCCACGTCTGAATCATATGGCTCTTACTGTAAAACTCTGAAGGTTCCTCTGATAAAAAAGGTCATGAATAAAAATAAAAAACCTAAAGCCTATACTGTGATTTTCTTTTTATGACTTTGCGTTCAAAATGTCGAGTACGTCATGTTTGGAAAACAAGAACGAGGTTGTAAGCTCGAGGTACAAACAAATACAAACATTAAAGAAAGTAAATCAAACATGGTGGACGCACTTACTTAAATATGTTCTATTTCAAGTTTTTCACAGAAAGTGTTGGTCTCTAAGGCTTTAGGATGCAGCTGGACTGGATAAGTATGACAGGAAGACTACAAAGGTGGACTTCTGTTGGAAAAATGTGAATTTGGGTTTTTGGAGTTTTAGCTTGTCAAGATTTTTAAGGGGTGTGTCGGCCGGTTCTGTCCTCTGATTGGTTAAATTGTTTCACTGCTCCTGTGCACCAATCAAGTTTCACCAGCACAAGCAGCACAGGTGGACAAAATAGGGCCTGGAGGATGCACTCACCAACACAGACACACACACACACACACACAAAAACACCAATAATATTAGAATTTTAGTTGAACGTCTAATTTAATGTTTAAAAATAAAATACCAACAATCCAGAAAGTCAGACTGAAAGTGCAGTCAGGTGCAGCCAGCCTCCTCTCTCCATCACTCAGGACCAAGTACTGAACCTGGACCTGTTCCACTGCTGCCCCCCTCCCCAAACACATCCTGTGACTGTACCGACCTGCCACAGTTCAAATCCCTGATCAGAGCCCCCCTTTTCAGACCTCCTTTGAATTGCTGAACTTGCTTTTTGTGACATTGTTTTAATGTTTTTGTTTCCTTCGACTTGTTTCATCTGAATGTAAATCTGTAAAGTGTCATATCAGTATTTTGATAAGTGCCATGTAAATAAAATGCATTATTAATATAACAATAACTGAATGAATTAGATAGCACTTACACTACATTAGTGTATTCTGAACTTTATGTTCCAGCAGTAGCTCAGTCTGTAGGGAAAATGGAAAATGGAGGGTCGCTGGTTCGAGTCTCAGTGCGGATCAAAGACAGGATGTTGGTCTAGTTTCTGGAGAGGTGCCAGTTCACTTCCCAAGTACTGCCAAGGTGTCAAACCCCTAACACAGTGGTGTCCAAACGTTTTTTCTTGCGGGCCAAAATTGTCGTGTTAGAATCGCTCGCGGGCCACAGGTTTTTTTTTTTTTAAATATAGTTGAAAAAGTAGTAAGGCTTTGTAGATCAGAATCAAAAGGCTCGCTAAAGAAACCCTTTAATAAAAGGAATTCAAATATTTAGATTTCTTTGTTCTACTTTATTTGTTTTTTTTCTCAGAATCAAGTCTGTAACGTGGTTCATGTTTTTGGAAAAGCTTTCTGCATTTAGCTCAGGTCATTAAATGGTTAAACAACAGTCCGCATGTTTGCAAAAACTTTGCATACGTTTTTTTTCATAGTTTACAAAATAAAATAAAAAAACAAAGCCGCAAATGGTCCTCGGGCCGCACTTTGGACACCCCTGCCTTAACAGCCCTGGCACTCTTCCTATGTAGCAGCCCCACTCTGTCATCTCTCCGCTAATGTTTGTCCACAGGTTATGTTTGTGTAGTGTAAAAAATAAAAATCATCATAGCTCAACAACAGACCCTCCTTTTAAGCCTAAAGTGACTTTGTGGAAAACCTTTTGTATCTGTTCATGTCATGGAGTATTGTATTGAATATTGCTTCATTATTAATGAGCCTCATATGAATGAAGCTTCAGGACTTGATTTACACTTTATGCTGTATTCTGACTCAGATCCTTGCAGAGCTCTTATTGGATACATGCCACTTACTTGAGCATGCCCCACAGGGTAGAGGTCGAAATCTGCCCCTCTATTTTTAAACTGAAAGCCAAATTGCTGGAATGAAACCTGACACTGTCACTCTGTGTGTTTGTGTGCGTGTGGGTTTCTTGCATGCATGTGCTGCAATCCTTTGGTCTGTTTGTGTCTGTCACACTCTTTGACATTTCCACTAAAAGATAAAGATGGGCCACACTGCTTCTTCTTTTTTTTACCCTTTTCTGTTCATGCATGTTAAGGAAACTGTAAGCCACATTTAGACATCATTGGACAGCCCGTGAACAGGTGGACAAACAATTACTAAGTCCCGCTGCATAGCTGGAAGACCTGTGAACAAGTATACAACTGTCTGACCCAGACTGCCTGGCCATGACTTGCCATATGACACACTATTCCTGGAATAAATACGCCTAATTCTTCCCATAGTGAGGTTTAAAGGGGGCTTTAATTGATCCGGTTGCAGACGCCTGAACGCCAATAAGTCTGGTTCTACTCGAGGTTTCTGCCTGTTTTTTTCTGCCACTGTTGCCAGGTCAATGTTATTCATAATGAGCTCTGTTTTGTTACAAATGATAGACTATAAGCTTATCCAAAATCAGCATATAGAGGTCACTGGCTCATCGATTGGAAGACGAGCAATGTTAAATCCCTGTTGCTAGAGAGAGAGAAAGAGAGAGGGAGGGAGAGAGGGAGAGCAAGAGATAGAGAGAGAGACAGTCAGTCAGTTCCCAGTAAGAGCGTCACACCTCGACGTCCCTGGCTGTTGGGAAAGTGGTGACAGAGAAGAAAACAGAGCAGTAGACACATTATAAAGAAACCAGAAGCAGAGACTAAACAAGCTCCAACTGGACACGAGTTGGATTCAAGCTCTACATGTTGCTTTTCTATTTAATCACCATCTTGGGGGTCTCCAGGCGCTCCTAGAGCTGTTTCTGGAGATCTTCTGCTGAGCCCGTGGTTTAAACACTGGATTTTGTTTTTGTCAGCTATGGATGAACCAGAAGGCTTTTTTAAATCTACTTTTTATTTGGCCTGAAGTGGATTTATAATTTTGCCATTTTTTCGGAATACTATTTCCTATAGAGGTTTCTTTTTTTGTGGATGCCAACGTTCTAGAGATTTTGTTTGCCTTCACACATTACAGAGCCGCACTAGTGGGCTATATATCCCACCGCTTGCCTAATTTCTGAAGTGAATCATCAGAAGGCTATCACATCTCGTTTTGGCTGTACCCATAATAGCAACAGATCGCTTAACACTTTGCCCAGACTGACACTCCGGTCCGAGGACGCGGTGCGGCACATGTCCCTGCTTCATCTGTTTTGTTTGAATTTCCAAACTCGTGGACGAGGTTATTATCAATCAATCTGAGATGTTGCCTCTGTCCCTTCTGCTGCTCCTCGTTTTCCCAGCAGCGCTCCTTGTGGCAGCGCAGGGCGCCGTGGACTTCCAGGGTTTCAGCTTTCCCGGAGGGGGCGCTGCTTACGACCCAACTGGTAGGCTTGTGTGCGGCTGCATGAGGTGTCAAAACATGAGAAAGGAAGACTTAATCAAATAGAGAAGCTAGATATTATCTCCCACCTGTATGATAAAAAAAAAAAAAAAACCATCCTATTCAGACCTTCTCAAATGGCTATATACTGCTGTTCAAAGTGTAATCTTTGTTGCTTCAGTTTCCATGTATTTATAGGGTGACCATATTTTCAAGCCTTCAAATCGGGACACTAATTTTACCGCACCCACATGTGTTGACCTGCACTGGTCCCACAAGGTGCCCTCCCGAGCAGCCCGTTAAAGTTTGTCACCGGCCTGTACCCACCGTTTGCGTTAGCTTCTTATAACATGGCTCTGCATGTTGACATTTCCCCTGTGGGCGACTGAAAATGGACACTTGGAGTGTGTCCAAAACGTATCACATTCATTGCCTCATACTTTTCAAATTAAGCTGTAGTTCTGCCGAAGCTTGTAGGAAGATGCTGACTTCCTTTTTTCAGCATGACAGCTAGACTACCTGTCGTCACTCAGCAGGTCCTGTTAGCATGATGAGCGATCTAGCTAAGTGGCAGCCGCAACCACTAGAGTGATTGACACACATACAGACAAATCAGTATTAAACTTTGACTCGTGGTGCGTTAGTGCTGTTTCTCTATTGGTTAAAACAACAACAGCCTTGGCAATGACGTTGATCGACATTTATCCAGACAAATAAGTGAGCAAGCATGGTGTAGTGTTTGTGTTGGTTAAAACCTAGGACTTTTCAAAACCGGGACATATCAGTGTTTTATAGATATTTGTGGGGACTCGGGACACAGAGTTAAAAAATAAGACGGTCCCAGTCCAATCCAGGACCTTATGTATTCATTATGAATTTCTATGACTCTTCTTCATTTGGTGTTTTTATGGCTAACAAACAACAAGCTACAGAGATAACAACGTTCATGGTGTTTTAACAGGAAGGACTGTCTGTTAAAACATTAACACACCTGTCTTTTTAAAGCTCCTGTGAGGAACTTTAGGGTTGTTAAGTGACAATCTCCAGTTTTGAAAAAATTAAGAAAATACTAGTGCTAAAAATTGCAGTTCCTTAAGTGTCCACTAGAGGCTGGCTGCAAAAGCCCTGGAAGTCACATAGACACCAATGTTAAAATGTCTATTTTAACAGCAGAAATAAACATGTTTATCGCCTGCTTTTACAAATGAATTTGGTATAAAATACTAATGACTTTATTGGTACATACAGTTTTTTAATATGATTTTGAGAAGGATAGGAGTTATGCATAATAAGGGGCATGACTGATATGGGCCTAGAGAAAAACCCAGCTGGGAGCGCCTGTGGGGCGGGGCTACGTGGGCGTACAGACCACCAAATAAAGGAATCGAGCAAACATAAACATAGCAACTCACTGTTGCTTTGCTGCTAAACGAGGATGGGAAATGTAATGAAAAGCGAATGTATGAACTCCTACTTCATTTGATCGGATGCTTCGGTTAAAATGGACATGGATGAACTTTGTGAGTTGAAAAGTTGAACATTTTTAAACTTTTACCCATGCCCAAAAACCGATAAAAGAACTCGACAAGCACACTGTACCATAGGAAAACAATGTTTTTTAATTTATTAAATATAAGGCATAATTGTAGTTTGGAGTTTTATGAATTTGCTTCCAAAAAACCTTCAGGACATTCAAAGGGTTTTTATTCTGACAGTTTGACCACAATACCCAGCAGATACCATCTGCTCTGTGCTTCAGCCCTTTAGCCCAGTACCCCAATAGCATCAGCTCACCTGTGGAGAGGGTTAAACTCAGGTCAAAGGTGGAGGCTCTATTGGGACACCAACACTGACACACACTACACACACACACACACTCTTCAGCTGGACTTTGCATGCACCATTGATATTTGATAACTCATCTGAGGTGTCTCTTCACTGTTGGGAAATGTCTCACCAACAACCTACAGATCCAAGTCTTTACTTTCTGTAGGTATACAGATACAGCTCCTGGCTTTGGGATACATTTTGGGGAAAACCTAATGTTTAGAGTTGATGCAAATTTTTTCTTATTAATTATTTGCCATTAATAATCCCTCAGCAAACATGTGACATCTGTCATCTAATTTATACGTCAGGCGGATGTTTTGCACTTTGCATTCCTCGTTCTGCATCCGGAGAAGCCTTCTCCAAACACATTTGGTTTTCTAGCAGTAAAGAGGCCCGAGTGAGTCATAGGATTATTTTACACCAGAATACATTTGGTCCTGCGTGCAGACTGGCTGCAAGAGGATTTGCACCACACAAGAAACTACCCATGAGGTGAATCATGCCACTATTTTGGAAACCATTTGTATGATTTACATAAGAGATAAGACTTAACCTTTGACCTTTGACCCTGAAGTCACTCTTTCCTGTAGCTTTGCTCCCACGTCGTAGGAGAGGAGATAGAACTGTCACAGGAGCTTGCTTAGATAGTGGTTTTGCTAGCAGACCTTTGACCCCAAGTCCCTGCAGCTCCTTGAAAAACCAAAACTAGAGTCATAGAGACAAAAGCGGACTCTGACTCAGCTCGATAGATGACAGAAACCGGTGTGTCATCATGTAGTGTAGGTGTAGTTTACCGAAGCCAAGAAGGCGGTAAACAAGCTAACGCTATCACAGCAGTTAAAAAAATAAAAGAAAGACACAATAACATGATCATTTCCTATCTGCTTTTAAAGGTAGGATTGGTTTTACCCTGTTGGTTGTCCTGTGATTGGTTTGACTATTTGTAAAGGTAGATTTGGTTTACAGTGAGTGAGTTGGCCTCCCTTCACAATCAACAGCACAAGACAAGACTTGGTAAAGTGACACCAGTGCTCAATACTTAATAATCCAAAAGACAAGATAAAGATGAAAGATCACTTAATATAGGTTAAGTGAGATTAAATAAGAATATACCATCAGACAAAGTGAAGACATGGTAAATAAAAACAAGATAGAAATGTGCTCTCAGTTAAAACAAGGTAAACAAGGTAACAAGGTACAATCAGCAGAAATCCATTAAAAGTCAAATTAAACTGCAGAAAGTTGCTTCTCTAACATCAGAGGTATATTGTAATGATTGTTAATCTCACTGATGGCGGTCAAGACAAAGCTATTTCTTTTAGGAGTTCATAAACAAACATCTAAATTCTTGATCTTGAGATCACAGGAAGCTGTTTGTACCATGGATATCACTCCATTCACTTCACTCCGTTAAGTGAAATGAAGATTGCTCTAATATCTTTGCCGTCCTGTCTCATGCAGACCCTTGCATGGTGGTGTATCCCCCGTGTATGAGCGAGGCTGACCGCTTCAGCCTGGAGGCCCTGCGCACTATCCATCAGAAGATTGACGATGACCAAGACGGCGAGATCGAAGTGGAGGAGAGTAAAGAGGTACAAAGTTCACACTTCATTAAATATTCACCCATTTATTGAAGCTGATGTGGTTTGTGTGTATGTTTGTTGTTTGTTTATTGCATGAAAGACAGAAAGGGGAAAAGCAGTCGACCAACAGGTGTGCTGGCTGGCAGGAGAGTCAAGTGCTACTAATGATAGCACCGGTATAACTTCACTTCTGGCTCTGTGACAAACTTGGTTTGTGGTGACCTTCATAGTCATACATAAGAGTGTTACTTAAGTCTTAATGTTGAATGAATCTTTCTTCCTTTTTTCTTCAGCTACTAATTTGAGATTTCTCAACAAACCTGAGGAGATTGACACTTGGTACATTATGAAAATACAAAGAGGAAATATCCCTGTTCAAATTCATATTTGTACAAATAAAACAAATCACTATAAATAGTTCAAAACTTGATACAAGTATCTAACTTATTTTACAGAGCACCAATTATCACCAATGCTGCACGTGGCTTTCTTTGCTTTTCAATTTGGCAAATTTATTTTTCTCAGTTCTATTAATTGGGGCATTGGACACACATCTTTAGACTTACAGCTTTCTGAGTCCTTGAAGAATATTAAACGATTAATTCGAAAGAGCCTCGTCCCACTGCCAATTCCATCAGAGCTATATGAGGGAGCTAAGTGTGTAATTCACATAGATTTGCCTGTTTTCTCCTCTCAAAGCCTTACCATAGTCTATAATAAATAACGACTTATCAACACTTTGAATGTAGTTTGTCAAGAGGCTTAAAACCCGCCTCAGCTCCAGCTCTCAGCCTGTTGTTGGGTTGACTGAAACTAAGGCTGAGAAAGGATTTCCATCATGGAGACCACCTTTGACGGGACATAAGCCCTTTGTCGTAACAGATTAGTGACGTCTTCTATTAGTATTTTACAGTCTATTGTCTTAATTTGCTAAATTAGGTGTCAATCGAACTGTCAGAGTGAAGCCGTCATTTTGATGTAGTAAGCTTTGAAAAAACGCAATTGAAAAGAAAAAATCTTCTTACAGAAAATACAGTGGGAAGTCAGGAACAGTAGTGGCAAATTTGAATCAATCCGTGAATCTTTATGGATGTCTGGACATGTGTTTGGATTTAAAAAAAAACCACATTCAATGATCAGTTGACTACAGGCAAAATCAGACCAATCAGATTTGACTATGTAAATCCTTAGTCAGGGACACCCCTAGGATATTTATTTTACAGTTAAGAAAACCTAAACAGGAATATAACATAAGTTTGTCACTTTAATATTAACAATATAAATATAATAAATGAAGATGGAAATGGTAAATAAATGCTATTCACTTGTGTGTGCACAAAAAACGTCAGGCCACCCCTGCAAAAGTCAGTGCCCTCGTTTGGCCACCCCAGTCAAAAACGTCATGGCCACCACTGATTGAGAGGTGTCTTTCATCCCTACATATCGCTCTGCACATGTGCTTAAAGACATATTTGCGGCAGGGAAGGCATTTTTGGAATTTTGGTCCATGTGTGTCATGTTTTCTTTTTTTATGTAAAGTTTGAAGTATTTTTTTTTCAAAGAGTGTGTGTGACATTGGTATTAAATCCAGAATTGGCCGTTTAGAATGTAGTGCAGGGACACAGTATCCAGGGGCTCAAGTTGCGGTAGCCATAGAGACGGGAGGGGACAGGCTGGGGCTGATCAGCACATAACCCCAAGATTCCTCCAGCCATCTTATGAAGCCTCCGTTTACGGCCAAGAACACATTCCAAGATAGCAACAACACACTCACTCACACACACAAGTAATCGCCGAAGTTTGTGATACACAAGCTTGCTTCTGGGTGCATCCCAAATAAATGAAGTCTCAAAACACCCACTCCTTTTTCCTGGGTTGAATTCCAAGAACATAACACCCACTTTATTTTAGGCTGAAAGGTTGAGAATCTGAGTCTATAGGTGCTTCGACCCCAAACTCGCTACTCGTTGAAGACACACCTGTTTACAGCTGCCGTTCATTAAACAGATTTAAAAGATTTTAAATTTGAACTCTGCACTGTAACTTTTAACTCTTTTTATATTTTTACTTTATTTATTTCAATTAATTTCATTTAAATTATTTTTATTTGAACATATGTTCAGATTGAATAATTTCAGTGATTTTTTAATTTTCTATTTTAATGTTTCTTTTCTTTCCTCTGTCATGATGCTTTAGATGTTTTGTGTGAAGCACTTTGAATTGCCTTGTTGTTGAAATGTGCTATATAAATAAACTTGCCTTGCCTTGCCTTACCAATAACTTGTTCACCTCTTCCTCCTGTCCCTCTATTTCTTTGCAGTTCATCATTGAAGACATGAAGCAGCAACAGACCAACAAACACAGCAACTTGCACAGGGAAGACCAGCACATCACGGTTGAGGAGCTCTGGAGGGGCTGGAAGTCGTCTGAAGGTGTTTCTTGTGTGTGTGTGTGTGTGTGTGTGTGTGTGTGTGTGTGTGTGTGTGTGTGTGTGTGTGTGTGTGTGTGTGTGTGTTTGTGGGTGTGAGATGAGATCTCAAAACTATCAGACAAATTGAAATTGATCCTTTTTCATCACTTATCCCAAAGCCTGGAGTATCTATATCTTTAAACCTGTTGGTGCAGTCCATTAATCTCTGAACTCAAAGCTGGGAATGACGTCACACCTGAGTCAACCGCGTTTCAGTTGCAAATTGGCAACAAGTCGGACAAGCAACATGGAAGCCTCCAGCAGTACCTTTGTTTTGTTAACTTATACCTGGTCATAATGACACACTACGTGATAGTTTGTGCACTAAAATAACATGACATGTCCACAGACAGAACTTGCACGATACTATGGGTATCAGAGTTCAAAGTTGCTTGAAAACAGAATAGTGTACAGCTTAAACATTACTGTTGATGCACGTAGCAGCCATGTTGGATTTAAGCTCGGGCTACTGAAAGTTTCAAAGTCCAAATTCCGACTTCAGGGGGGCGTTCCCGATCACATAAGGTCGGCAGCTCTGAATTTTTAAATTCCAAGATCAAATGAAATGCACCAACAGAAAGCTAAGAAATGGATCCATGGGCTGTTGATGAAACTTGCATTTCCGAAAAAAGTGAAGAAACATCTCAGCTGGAGTCCAGCTGAAGAGAAAGTGAGTGTGTGTCTGGGTGAGTTTGGGTGTGTCTGCACTGTTAGACTTAGAGAAGGTTGGTTTCCCTTCTTTGTGCCTCTGTGTTTTGAAAAAGAAGAACTGCATAGGAGACCTTTTGGATGTCCCTATAATTGCATTTCCAATATGGCCCCAGCCATCGTTGGGCTTCAAAACAACTCTATAAAAACCAATGGGTGACTTCACTGAGACCAAGTCCATGTTTCTTTACAGTCTATGTTGGTGCACTTTCTGTCTCTGTTAGTTTGTATGGGGATAAAGACAGAGGGAGAAAGAGTAAGTGTGTGTCTTTTTACAGCTCTTCTTTGTTTAACCTTCTTTTTTCCTTCTATAACTTCCTAGTACACAACTGGACTCAAGATGACGTGCTGCGCTGGCTGAAGGAGTTTGTTGAGTTGCCACAATATGAGAAGAACTTCAAAGATTTTAAGGTCAATGGAAACACACTTCCAAGGTGAGAATATCCAATGACAGTGTTAAAGTCAATGGAGACCTATTCTCTTGTGTGCTGTTGTTAAAGTGAGCCACTGTTCAAACAATTCAGCTGTTGTTCAAATCAACACACTGAGCTGCCTATTACATCTGTGTGCAGGATTGCAGCTAATGAGCCTTCATTCCTGAGTGGACAGCTGAGAGTTCAGGACCAGAGGGATAAGCAGAAACTCAACATCAAAGCTCTGGATGTTGTTCTGTTTGGACCACCTACACGTAAGACCAAATCCTCATTACTTAATCTAATGTCCTTGTTCCATGTCTTTTAGTTCCTACTACATTTTGTCTGTAGTTGATGGACAGCTACAGACATGCACCCAATGTCTTACCCAGATGAGCTCTTGTGTGGCACATTTAGTATTTTCAAGTTATGAGGGGTCCATAAAGAGAGGAGATGTAATTTGAGCCTCGTAATTCAGAGGCATTTTTTTTATTTTTATGTTCAGTAATTTTTGGCTCAGGTTGTGGTTGAATTAGGCCAAGAAAGTCAGCCTAGATTTCCGTCTCGGTAGCATCATTTCCCAGTTAGCCCTGGGGGATCCCTTGGATTCCCAGGCCAGATGGATATATAATCCCTCCAGTGAGATATTGGGTCTCAGCAGGGTCTCCTTGGTGTTAAACGTGTCAAGAAATCCTCCAAAGGGAAGTGCCAATATGTCATCCCAATCAGATCCAGTTGGTTTGTCATTTTAGTTTATACTGTCCGCTAACACAGATTTTTATACCAATTTTTCTATACACAACAAATGTAGTTTAATGTTTTCAGTGCTCAGCAGCCTTAGCACAAGAGCACCCCGGGCATTAGCTGTTCTTCATTGCTGCGCTCACAGTGCTCTCTTTATGAACACCGTCGTGCTTGTCAATGTCACTTCTCCCTGACCAAGAGAAAAGAAATCCAATCAGGAAGGGGCAGGACTTCTGATATCAACTTTGTCAACAAGAATGGTGGAGGAAAAACAAATCTGACTTGTCTTTTCGAGGGTACAATTTCCAGGTTTTCTACAGCTGCTGTATATGACAAGACACAAATCCTTTACATTTTTATGTTTTCGTGGTGGAATTTCCATAGTAGCATATTATAAGCATACAAAGCATCTTAAAACAAACCTTGCAGTTACTACTGAGCTAAATAGAAGTGCAGTGAGCCAATTTTCATGACCTAGCAACAGTAAATCATGGTGCGAAGCTCCCTGAAACTGAGATTGTGAGCACAGCCAGTACAAAAAAGTAATTAGTGGATACAGGCCCCTATGATACAATGCTAGTCCATCCAAAATAAATAACCATGAACTTCTATTCCACTATAGGTCCCCCTCATAACTACATGAAGGACCTGCTGCTGATTGTATCAGTGGTAATGGGAATTGGAGGCTGCTGGTTTGCCCAGGCCCAAAACAAAGCCAGCAAAATCCACGTATCGAGGATGATAAAAGATTTGGAAAGTCTGCAGAGGGCTGAACAGAGTCTCTTAGACCTACAGGAACAGTAAGTATTAAAGAATAGCAACTCTTTCCCTCTGTACATTATTGAGTTGTCTTTGTTTTGTTGGAACGCACTTACATTATTTCACTTTCTCAGGCTGGAGCGAGCCCAGGAAGAAAAACGAAATGTTGCAGAGGAGAAACAGAACCTGGAGGAAAAGATGAGGGATGAGATCATGGGGGCGCAGGAGGAGGCTCATCGTCTGCACAGGCTGAGGCAAGGAGCTGTCAGCGAACTCAGCCGCCTTCGATTTGCAGAGGAAGAACTAGAGCAGGTAGATTGACTACTACCATACAAATGGAGGATGCAGCTTAACAAAAGTTGCACACGATTTTTGTCAAGCTTTGGAATGTTTTAAGGATTTCAAATTGATCTGTAACATTGACTGATGCCATCCCCTCAGGTCCTTAGTGCACTTAAGCAAGCGGAAAAGGATGTGAATGCCAGCTGGACTGCCTCAGAAGCACTTCAACAGTGGCTGCAGCTGACCCACGAGGTAGAGGTTCAGTACTACAATGTCAAGCGGCATGGTGCAGAACTACAACTTACCACTGCCAAGGAAGAGGTAATTGATGAAAGTGGAGACATATGACAATCACAATAGTGGTAATAAGAGTGACTGCAATGAAAACTTGAGCAAGTAATTGCAACTCAACAGCACCTATACCTGTTTGCAGGCAGAGAGGATCAAGAAGAAGAGGAGTTCTGTGCTTGGGACTCTCCATGTAGCCCATAGCTCATCTCTAGACCAAGTTGACCAAAAGATCTTGGAGGCAAAGTGAGTCGCAAAAAAACTACTTATGCAAGGTTTGTGTGCGACTCACAGAAAGAGTGCAACATATGTCATAAAGGTCTTTGTATCTCCTAAAGGAATGCCTTGTCTGAGGTAACAGCCTGTCTACGTGAGCGCCTTCATCGGTGGTCGCAGATGGAGCGTCTCTGTGGCTTCCCCATTATTAGGAATCCTGGTCTAGCAAACCTCACAGCTAAACTCTACACAGAACCAGTTGCTCTTCCATTACCTCGAGTGCTCCAACCACCTTTTTCATGCCATAGCTCTATCCATGGATCTATAGAGGATCTGTTAGAAGATCCTACTTCTCCAATATTACCACAGATGCCAGGTAAATACAATTTACAATTAATTATTGATTCTTTCTTTCACCGTTGATATCCATTGGTGTCCAAATAGTATTAAATCATGTTCAAATATGGTGAGTCCTTGACATAACTAATTGTTTTTTACACAGAAAACCACACATGATGTTACAACCAGTAGTCAAAGGCAAAAATGCCTCTTGATAAAAAACAGTTGAACTTAATGTCCTGTTAGTCTAATATTTCTTTCTGAACATTTGCTGGATGCTAGTTAGTACAAAGTATGCTAGCCAGCTGGAAGAGTTTTTTTTTCTATATTATCTTTCCCTTTCAAATTTTAGAAACAGTACAGAGGAAACTAAAATAACCTTAAAAACTTATTTTGACTGAAAAGGGCTAGCATTTTCTACACAGCTAGCTTGTTTGGGGTTAGCTCACTTATTGCAACAGAATATAAACAAGACCTGAGAGTAGTTGCTAAGTTACCAAGCGTTTTTCACAACTTATTTCACAGGTGCCAAAACAAATCTGGCACATCTAGTTTCTAGTACTACCAGCCTTTCCCTAGTAAGACACATTTATTGTTACAAGGGTCTACAGTAATGGTTCACAGTAGTAATGGTTCAGTTTGTATCTCTGTTTTTGGGTCATTGTTCCATATGAGTCTGGTAGAACAGGAAAAAAGCTACATAATTCTATGTATATCTTGTTTATTTTGGAGTACAGCAGAGCAAGCAAACAGTTACCAGCATTACTGCAACCTGGATTGGGTTGTGGACACTGCAGTATGTGGCTGTCTTTATTCTCCCTTCAAATGAATTTTTCATTTGACTGCATAAACTGAACCGTAATGAATACACATATAGGTTACACCTCTAACTGTTACCATAAACAATTGCCTGGTATGTATGGGCTGAACAGTTGTGCTGATTTGTTTATCTTTGGCCTTCCTCCAGTTCCAGTTCAACCGCTGAAACGCTCTCCTAGAACACAGGGATCCACCATATGTCGGTCACGCCGTCCCGGTGTGGTCACTCAGCCACAGATCGCCATGATCTCTCAGGACCCTGACCTTCTCATCCCCAGCCGAGCCCCTTATCCGTGCCTTGATGAAGAACAAGGCCACTTCCTTAAAACTCTCAAGAAACAGTATGTCTCCTGCCGACATATTTAATTGCCCAGTTTAATATAACAAATGCCAACCACTCATGTCTTCCTCTCTTTGTTCTTTTCTTGTCCTTTCCTTTCTCTCTTTTCTCTCTAATAGAGACTCGGAGGAGAGGTTTTCAGACTCAGAATATAGGACTCCATCTCCCCTGATCAAAATATTACCTACTCTCACTGTTGACAGTTCTTCCCAAAAGCTTTATCATGATGAAACTGAGATGCTTCCAGACTGCTCCATTATGAAGACTTTGGGTAAAGAAGCAGAAGCTGTTGTTGAATCTCCGGTTTGCAAAATTTATATGGAAGAGCTTGAAGCTTCTGTAGATGTTTCCGGCAGGAAAATGGCAAAAGACCAGCTGTTTGATGCTTCTTTGGAAACACCTTCATTTTACCATCCCCAAGAAGAGTCTTTGATGGAGGCTACATCAAGAAAGATATCCAGAGAAAGGAGTGAAGTTCCATTGAACGTTGCAGTTAGAAAGTGCCTTTCCAATGAGTTGGATGCAGAATTTCCAACCAGGAAAGTAGAAAGAGATGCGACAGGGGAATTGAAGGACACTGCCTCAAGGAGTGTATATCGAGAAAGGAGTGATTTACCTATGGATGTGAGGAAGATTATTTGGAATGAAATAGAATCGAAAACAGATTTGGCACCTAGGAAGATATCAAGAGATATGATGGGGTCTTCAATGGACGGTACTTCAAGAAAGATGATACGGGATGATATTGACTATCCGTTTGACTTGGTATCCAGAAGGAGTACAAGGGATTCAATGGGAATGTCCATAGACACAGGCTCTAGAAAGCTTGCATGGAATAAAGGCGAATGCCAGCTTGATTCATCGGTGAGAGCTTCAGGAATGGACAACATGGCGGAGTCTTCCAGAATACCATCCAGAAAGATATCCAGAGAAGAGCTGGAGGAGTATGGTACAGATACTGCTTCCTTTAAGCTGTTACACAGAGAGAAATTTGAATCACTAATGGATAGCCTATCATCAACAGAGAAGCAAGGGTTTGGATTGGAACCATCAACAAGCAGGAGGATACTGAGAGATGATCTTGAGATGTCTGCTGGTTCTGTAAGACGGAGAATACCAAGACTGACAAGAAACGACAGTGACAGCTCCACAGACACCTCCTCGGGAAAGGTTTTCTGGGAAAGAGCTGATGTCCCAGTTGAAATGCAAAGACAACACGTAATGAGGGAGGATATGGGAGCATCTGAATTAAGCTCGTTCCAAGGTCCCATTGAACAGCCAGACCTTACGGTTGCCTCCCAGGTGCCATGGAGGTCATCATCAGACCTTATTACTGTTGGCCCATTGAGCCAGCTTGTTTATGATGGAATCCTTGAGAAGTCCTGCAGTTCCATGGCTTCAACCCCAACCGGCCTCTCTGCTTCAACACCTAACCTGCCCCAGAGCAGACTGCATGCAGAGGTGGATCCACATCCTACAAGGAGTGCTATCCAGACTCCTGCGTCACCACATGAAACTGGAGATGAGAAGCACAAGGATAAAGAAAAGAGCAAGAAATCCTTACGGCTTAAAAATCTATTCAAAAAGAAACACGAGTCAAGTCCAGAGAAGCTTCAAAGTGGTCTTCAGAAACTCTGACACTTTGCTTTTATTAAATTGAACCAAAAAGCCCTATATTATGTAAGTACTTGCGCCCACCTGTGCTTGCATGGGCATTTGGAGAATGAGATGTGGTCAGGATCAATGGTGGTTCACCATCGTCCAGAAGCAGCAGAAAGTGATTGTGCCATCATTATTCCTATCCCTGGGGTTGTTGGTTGGGATGGAGGCCTGGGACACACAGAGCTCTTATTTCGCACATCTCCTGACGTCGTTATATTTCTTGTTGCATTGTGCCTGCTCTGTGGATGCCAGAAGGCAAGTACACGCTGACTGCTGCTACCCACGTCTACTTACCCTCAGGTGAATTCCTGCTTAAGCCCTACACATGCTAAAAACCCCAGCCTAAGACTGCCGCCAGGCTTTCCACTGTGAGCTTTCTTGCTGATGCTTGCTCTTGCTCAGAAACTCACACATTTGCACACTCGCACCAGACTAAGTGGTAAATGTATTATGAGCCTCAAATATAACTCCACTGTCCAAAGGAAGGCGCACTGTAAAATGGGAGAATTGAAATGAGTAGGAGTGACCTGAAGCTGGTCTAAGAATAACCAAAGAAATATCTCGTGTAAAGAGAAACAAAATGCCTGTAGGTGTGCCTGGCTTTGAAAGAGAATTGGAGATGACGGTAAATGGTTTGATTCCTGTTAAACCCAAAACACACGTTTTAATATTTTGGAGCCTGAAGACAACCCCTTTGCAACTTGGGTCATGCATTGGGCCCAGATGTGAGCCATTTAAAATAGCAGATGCTGGACTGAAACACCCTAAATGCACTTGCCAGTGGGCTTTATTATACCCTCTGTTGCTTGAATAGGGCTGGAAGTATCTGAGTAGAGAGTTTGATAGTTTTTACAAAACTTATTTTATATTTGAAGCTGCTTTCTTTTCTCTTCTTAAGTCTTATTGAGATTATTGGTTGATACCAAATGTGGTTTTAGATGTAGATTTCTTGTAGATTTCTTGTAGTTTTGCCTATTTTTGGTAGCTGACTTGAGTTTTAATTTCCCTAAAGCAGAGACAATGCTTGAACATGATTTAGAAGCTGCACAAATCGTCATTTGTTTGATCTTTTAAGGTTAAGTTAAAATATGTCAATATGCTTATAATGAAATACGTGTCCTATATGTTAATGTTTTTGCAATGATTAGCGCTATATTCATTATTTTCTGATAGGTCTCTGGATTCATGTTTTTCTCTGTTTCTTTCTGGTCAGAGGTTTTTGGGCTTCATACTGTTGGGAATATATTATATTTCCATGCATGATCAGGATTTAACAACATTTGAAAAGAGTATTCAATTGACAAAGTGGCATTTTTTGATTATAAAAATTACCACAGTTTAACAGTCCTGATGAAGCAGATTAGCTTCAGATATTTTTATTTTTCTGACTTTTCATAAAAAACACTTAGCATCAGGCTGTTTTTTTCTTTACTTAAGATTAACACTTAGACTTTATTTTTTTCCATCTAAGTTTGAGATTTAGACTAAGACTTAGTTGATTTGACTTTGACCAGCTTTTCCTGAAAAGTAATTGTAACTCAGGATTAACTTTTGGGTTTCAAACCAAGTTTTTAAAAGTCCAACATTTTATTTATCTCCAGAACAATTGGAGGTTTGAATGCACTTTTAATGTGTGCAACATCTGTAGATGTTGCTGAATCCGACACGATGTAAATTTGTGATTATGTTCCCTGACTCACTTGATTGCAAACTTTAAAACTTCAATGAATAGCACGGGCTTATATGTCTATGTCTAAATGACCCTGTCTTTATTTTGGACAGGCAATATCAATTGCCAATTATCAATATGAGACATGCCTTTAACTATTTAAAGAAATAATTTGTGCACAGCAAAGATGGGGAAGACTATAAAATCATAAACCTACACCAGAAAGAATATGTGTACCAAATCAGGTTATTGATAAACAAGTTAAATAATAAATCACTAATGTGTTCTTGCATTGTAAGACAGCCCACCTCAGTCATCCTGCTGCACTGTCTTTAGTTATTTAAAGCACATGGTAAAACGTTTACATAGCTTATTTTAAAATGTGCAGGAACACCAGGCTTGCAAAAGAGACCGTGCCTTAAATTGGGATGGGCTTTTATTTGACGTTTTATGGTAACAGAAGTTGCTTTCAGCTTTTAATTTAGTTGGGCATTTTTAACATTCAGTAGATGGTTCTGCCAACACAGCAATGTGATGTTGTTTGAGGATGCACTTTAGGGTTTTCAACAACTTATTCTCGAGTAACAAAGAAATAGCCCAAAGATTAAGGAATTGTGTAGACATCACCTATTGAATAAAATAAGTCATTGATGGTCCTGATCCTGTGGACAGACATCTTAGAGCCACAGTTTTATGTCAAATCGTTTGCTGTAATTTAAAGATTCTTTTTTTATTGAGTGCATTGTCAATGGTAATGGAGAATCTATGTTTCGTAGTTGTTTAAAGGTCACATATTAAAGTCATTTTCAGCATCAGACCACAGAGGGCCGTGGTCTGACGCGGATGTGACGCGAGCTTTCTCGCACATTGCCCTATTTCTTTTTTTACAGTGGAAAGGCAGACTCATAGGGCAGAACAAACACCTAGCTGTGGGAATGTCCCTACTGCCCTTTGTGATGTCATGAAGGGAAAATCTCCAAACGGCCTGTTTGAGCACACACTTACTGAAAAGTGGAGCAGGCAAAAGACAGAGTGGATAGACTTTTCTCATAAATGGGGTTTATAGACAGACTAGGACAAGATATTAGTGTTAGTGAAACATGGTAATGTGCATTTCATATAATATGTGACCTTTAAAGGAACAAAGTCAGTACCCTAAGAAGTTTATTTAAATCAACATTGTTCTTAAATGTAGATTTTAAAAGTGTAGGTCACTTATTTGAATAAATGTTTTTCATTTGTTTGGTTTCAATGTTTAAAGATAACATGAATAACAAATTAAATACCTTGTCTTAGACAATTGTTGCATAAATCTGCTTTTGTTGTCTCATTCACTGACTTTGTAGGGGAATAAACAGGGTGGTGAAAATCAGCAATGTTGTACATTATTTTAATTTACATAAACAAAAACTTAACATTGAATCTTTGTCAAAGAAAACAACAAAAACAATAAAATACTACGGAAACCTATCATACTAATTTTAGTAAAAAAATACATAATAATGATAATAATAAAATGATGATGCTGATGATGACAAAAATAATAAAAATAATAATACGAATGATTATTGACATCATCATACTAATTATTATAATCATCACATTTTAAATCACTATTATTAGTAAACAAGAGATAAACATCACAAAAAGTGTCATTGAACTCGGAGGTAAAGACTTTGTGAGAAGTTTGAAGTAGAGGTTGTGTGATGTCCGCTCATACAAAGCCAATGTATTTGTTCTGCTCATCGGCAACCAGGAACACAACTCTGGTAAAACATGCGTCTTCATCCTGAAAGGTAATCAGACACAGTAACATGAGTGTCATTAGTACAGAGTCTCTACTGCTGCAAAGATGTCTAATGGTTCTGAGACCATGAAAATACCAAAGAAAGTCCTTACCTGATTCACTGTACTTTCCTCTCCCATGTCAGGTCTTCTCTCAGTCATTTGATCTTTTTCATCTGTAGAATCATGAATAAAAGGTTTCTTGTTAGACAACGACTTCATTCATTCAATGATCCATCACAATCAATATGATTCATTTGTATTTTAGTCGATTCATAATGTCTATACTTAACAGGTAAAAAGTGATTGTAGTGTATTTACCTGCATTCTGACTGCAGAGATAAACAAAAGTCAGGCACAGGAAGGTGGAGAGGACCGTGATGGCTGGACTGAACACCATCATCCAAGATACACCAGGCTCAACATGGGGTGGACCGATGGAGTCACCGGAGTCACTGGAGGCTAGGTCAAATATAGAATGTGGATTTAGTTTTACCAATGGTGTGCATCACAGCATTCTGGGTAATTCATGTGACTTCTCAGCTCGTGCCATCCACCATCCCTTCAACTAACCATCTCTGCCTTCACCTCAAGTACCATTCAATAAATAACACTGAACTAAAACCATCTGTTTCTGTTATTGGGTCCCAGAATTACTCAACCTATCTATCAGTTTATCAATCTTAAACTTTAGTAAAGCCGACAGAGTGGCATTACTAAAAGTTGTGTCCGTTTCTATAGCCCTTTTCAGAGAGCAACAGGACCGTAATGAAGCTCCACTCTCTTTATCCCTTAAGACATTCGTGTTGATTTCCCGATGGCTGTATTGGTCTCTCTGTCTGCGAATTCCAATTTCATTAAAGCGTTGACGGAGCACCACATACACACACAAACACACATCACTGGGCTCTCCTGTTGGCTCAGCTGATCCCCTCTCGTCCCTGTACTGCGTCTTCCCTTCTTTCACTTCTTCAGCATATTACACCTCTGCAAAAGTCTTAATAAAGGGGAAACATCACAGGGACATTAACATTGTGAAATTAAACAGTGGTGTGAATCGGGCTCATCGAATGCTTAACGGGCCTCTGATAAAGTAGCTCAAAGCTGCTCGGCAGGAGAGCTCTGTCGCCACATCATGTTACAGTGTACTTTCAGTTGACTAAATAAGAAGAAAAATAAAGATAAAAGCTGGAAGTTGAAATTATTTTAGGACTAGAAGTTTAAATCTCTCATAAGAAACTTAAATAAGATTATTAATTTCAAGAGTGGGTTTTGAGAAAAGCTGTAAAAAGCCATTCATTCTTTTTTTTTTTTTTATAAAGAAAGTTGCATGCTGCAGTGCTTCTCCTGTAAAAGTTTCAACAATTTTGTTGCTGGTTGCAGGCCCGCCCCGCAGAAATGGCTTGAACCTTCCAGGATATGATTTAATTCAAAGTATGCATATGCTATCAGTCCTGTTACGTTAGACCCGTGGCTAACATTAGCTCTCTCTCTGCCTGGCTCCCATCAGCCTCTGGAGCCT